AAAAAAAAAAAAAAAAAAAAAAAAAAAAAAAAAAAAAAAAAAAAAAAAAAAAAAAAAAAAAAGTATTATGGCAATTTTCCATTTAATTTCATTAGCATGAGGAGTTAAATTGGGTGAGGCTCGACCCCACTGATTGGGTCCGTTGTTTAATTTGAAGGATGACATGTTTTTACACTAATAATTTAGATGTCAATCTCCGTGTATATTATGTGTATTTATATCTCGCTGCATTAGAGAAGGTACATATTGAAATATTCAACGTTCGGATTGATCCTATGATAATTGAGCAATGGAGGCGATCTACCAACTTTGTTGCTTATTTTATTTTGAAGTTAGTATTTAGATTCTTGTACTTTAAACAATAATTTAAATAAAGTTTCAAATTGAAAAGTTATTTTTGTTCTCGATTATAAAAATATAATTGGTTTTTCTGGAATATTAATTCTCTTCAAAACTTAAATGCATGTAAAAATACCCTCAAGAAAATAGAAAAAGTCTGTGGTTACCCCTTTTTTCTTCCTTTTTCATAATCAACATTTAATGTTTCTTTGTTCGACTATTCAAAAAACGGAATGAAAACATTAAGGCATGCAAGTCAGATTTGGCTCCAACCTCGATGATCGTAGTTGGTGAATAAAAACTTAATGAAGATTATAGCTGTTCGGCTTCCTGGAAAATTGAATCAACACGAGCTTCATCATTACTTAGTACGTAATAATAACAACAACATTAAAAAGAACACGGTGTGATCCTCAATCAATTTACAGAAACGATTCGTAAGTTAACAAATGCAGAAGAAGATGAAGAATCGAGGCAGAGGCAACAGAGAGATCCTCTGAGATGATGGTCGATGAATTTACAGAAGCGAATCGTAAATGGAGAGAAAACGAGAGCGGATTCGGGGACTAGAGCTACCTGAATAAGAGCTTCCTGGAGTTAAGAGATGGCGTAATTTTGATAAGTAGTCCTGGAAAGACATCATCGGAATCCTGAATCTGCGGATTGTAGTCGACTATGAAAGGATCGTCGCACTTGGCGCTGATAGAGTGCAGCGACTCGCCTTCTCTGACGAGGTAGATGTCGTCGCAGGGACCGGATTGCGCAGAGGCGAGGAGCATGAGCGCCATGAAAATGAAAACAGAGCAGCAGGATGTTGAGGAAGCCATGGGAGAAGATGAATTTGGTATTTGGTTTCTTAGGTATAAAAAGAGGGAGAGGAGGTGGAGGTCAGTTATGGCGGTTTCGAGAAGTGGAGCAGACCACAAGGAATTGAACGCTACCACCATCAGGGGATGTTTCGTCATATTTATATATATATTTGTTTTCTTTGTTGAAAAACTTCTTCTATTTTAATTAAGAATATGAAAATTCAAACCATACTTAAACTATCAAATTATATTATGCAATGAAACTAATCAAACTGCACGGAACTGTTCATCCTCCACGATAAAATCTTCTAGAAGTCAAATTAATAAATATATATATATATTTAAAAAAAAAAAAACAGGAATTAATTGCTTAATAATATGGAAATTCTCAAAACAATTAATTAGGGAAAAAAAATGGACATAAATAGTTAAGACTCACATTCCCGTCAAGGTAGGCTGCATAAATTAAAAAATTCAAACTCTATAATATATTATTTTCCCTAAATACTAAATAATTTAAAATAATAATTCCACACCAACCAATTTTCCTTACCAGCTTAATTGCCACACAAATTAGCTTCCCAATAATATAATATTATATATATATGTTCAAACAAAACGTACGTAATAGTTATTATTAAAATGTATTTTTTAAACGTACCCCTCAGACTACTATCTCCAAAATTTAAGTCTCTGTCTCCTCTTCGACTCCAGCTACATTCCTTAGAGCCCAGCCGAGAGAGTAGGCGGCTGCCGCCGCAACCGCACCATTAAGCACCGTTAAGGCGACGGAGAAGCCATAGTTTCCGGCGGCGATCTTTGCTCGGGCGACACCTAGAAGCACAAGTGCAAGAAGGGCCAGAATGCAAGCCCCACCGAACTTAAGGGTCTCGTTATCGGTGAAAGGAATGAGGAGGATGAAGGAGAGAAGTGGGATGCAGCCGAACGCGAGAAAGGATCCGAACGTCGCCAGCCCGTTCTTCCATGGACGGTCTTTGCTGTCCTTTGGCGGAGCTGCCGCGCCTTTCTTCTCCTCTACCATTATGTGCTTGTACTTCGCCATTATGTTCACCACCTGACGAGTTTGACTTTTTTTTTTTTTTTTTTTTTAATTAAAAAAAAAAAAAAAAAAAGTGGGAGAGGAAAAGAAAGAGAGAGAGAGTACTGTAGAGGCATCGTGAAAGTCCATTCCGAGAGACTGGTAGTGTTGAAGGAGGAGGAGCTGCTGATGTTCAGGGCGGTTGTCGATGTCCCACTCCGTCGCCGCCCTCTCCTTCACGGTGACAGCTCTCTCTGTGGTGGTGGCCACGTAGTCTCCGAACCCCATGGATATCCCATCCGCTATTAGGTTGGCAAATCCCAGCACCAGAACATCCACTATAATTATGAAAATTAATTAAAGTAAATTATTATTATTATTATTATTATTATTATTATTGGTATAAAATATACAATATCATACCATTATTGAGAATCAAGATTGGTAATATTAAATAGAAAAATATTAAATAGAAAGCAGTATTTCTCAATATTGGTAATATTAAATAGAAAGCAGTATTTGAAAAGAAAAAGAAAAAGGGTGACCGGCAGAGTGGCGGGTAGCGGAAATAGAAGCAATGAGAGAGAAACATGTAACAATGGCGTCCAGCCCTCCGTACACGATGCTTTTGGCCAGCTTTCCGTTCCACGGTTCATTTGGCCTTTTCTTCCCCTTCCTGTCGTCTTCCGCCCCGATTAGCTGCTCGCTGGCCGCACCCACGCCGCTTGATGCTTCCATTTCTTTACTTTTACCCTGTTACTCGGTTGTAGAGCAGCCAAGGGATTTGGGTTTTTGAAGGAAACTAGGAGATGCTTACGTGTCACAATGCATGAGAAGCACTTGACGTATGGCATATACTATATAATATGTATGTAGGTATTGTTGGGATAATCCTTTACCCACCTGAATTTAAGTACTAGTAGATATTGTTCATTTTAATTTATAGATATTGTCCACTTTTAAGTCATTTTTATCTATTTTTTAACCGAAGAAAAGAAAAGTAATCATAATATTTTTCTCAACATGATGAAATAATGTAAATAAAAAATTTATGGACATTAAATTTAATCTTATAATTAATAAAAAAAAAATGTTTAGTCTATTCACTTTTGAAAATGAAATCAAAAGCAACATAAAATTGAGTCCATATTAGTGAAAAATATTAACTATTAAATAAACAGAGTCATATAAGAATCTTTTATTTTTTAAATTTTTTTTTTTATCAAAGTTTAGGGTAAAACAAGATTTTTGTTTTCGGTGTTATTAACGCAAGGAAGAATAGGTTAGTGATTTTTGGTTCGTCATCCAATCTTGCTTTTCTTCTGCAAAAATTGTCCACCTTAATAGTGAGAGAAGGAAGATGGAAGGCATGGCAGAAGGAGCAGCAGCACCTTCATTGCCCGACCTTGTACTCTCGCTCGAGCAAGCATCGTTCATGGCCAAGCAGCTTTCTTCTACCTCTAACCCAGCCCATCTCCTCCAAATCTACAATTCTCTCCACCAGGCCAACCTCAACCTCTCCGTTTTCCTCTCTACACCTCACTACCCCCAATCTCTTCCTCTTCCTCCCCCTTCCATCAACGATAATCTCCTCTCCTCTGCAACCAGCGCCGCCTTCAACGACAGCGGCAACGAGCCGATGCAGGTCGGCGATGACGAAGATGCCGATGCCGAGCAGAATTCCAAGGGCACGATTGAAATGGTTGAGGAGAAGATGAAGGATTGTTTTATTAAGAACAAGCGGGTTAAACGAAAGCTATCGCCGTCGGCCGCGGCTATGGCGGAGGAAAGGCGAGTACATCGTGATAATCGGTTTAGTGCGACGGCGAAGGGTTTCGATCCTCATGTTGAGAGATTGCGGGCCTTGGACCTGATTTCCCAGTTTCATGCGTGAGGCACAGACGTAGCCGAGTTTGAAAAACGAGATGGAAGAATTTAGTCGCATTCTGGTGAGGCTCTGAACATTTCAAATTGTGTTATTGCCATTGCTATTAGCTTTTGATTCTTCAATTAGCATTGTGGAGTGGAACTTGAAATTGAGGTAATTGGAGACCTTTTGGTTCCGTTAGCATTAGGAAGATACTGAACACATTCCTTGCCCCTTTTTTATTCGTTTTGTTTGTCATGATCCATTTCTGAACTTCTCCTTACGCTTATCAATTGAAACCTTGCGAGCAGTATTTTCTGATATGATCCTTACAAATTTATGAGAATGCAAAGCATCACACATGCCCTTCTCACTTCTCAGTTTGTGAATTAAGTGCAGTTGGTGCAAGTTCAACGCTTCCACTACCCTTGATTGGTTATTGCGTATACTTGATACAATCAGTTTTATTCTTGTTCTCATTATGGTAATGTCTTTGTTATTTTTCATTTTTGGATTTCTGGTATTTCAGCAAACTACTAGGCCTTGTATACTTCTCTGATCATCCTTATCTGCGTCCATTGCTTTAATTCTATTTTATGTTTGCTATGCGAATTTATTGATTGGTGTCACTGAGAAGTTAATGCATGTTTCGGAGCTATTATGAGAAAGAAACTTGTTGCCTTGTAGAACAAAACTTTTGTGAAAACATATTTGGATAGCTGTTACATACAATTTTTATTATCTTGTTATCTTCAAGTTTGTTTTCATGGTTGAATATGTGTTCAAAACAACTGGAGTTGTTCTTCCTTTTAAAATCACTGAAAGATAATATCAACCTTTAAGCAAGTGATTTTTCGAACTATCTCCCAGATTGCCCCTTAGTGTTTATTAAATTTTGATTCTTTTGGTTTATTGAAGAAAAGCCTTGAACTCAAGTTTTTGGTTTTCTATTCTTATGTTTCCTTTTTACCGTTTAGTTCTTTGTTGCAAATTTTTATCAATTTTGGTTAATTTAAGAAAGACCTTGAACTCTATTTTCATGGTGCAAAAAGGGTTTCATGGTAAAGCTATGTTCTCTTCATTTTTTTTTTTTTTTTTTTTTTTTTTTTTTTTTTTTTTTTTTT